CGGTCCATAGACCATAGGATGTGCTGCCACGTCAGTAATACCACGATGGAATGCTGGGGAGGGGATCGATCTCCCTCTCCCCATTGTAATCGCAATAGATTTGCTGTATTTTTTTTTCAAAAAAAGGGAAAAAGGTCCGTAGGTCCATAGTATGCGCTGCCATGTCAGTAATGCGACGATGGAATGCTAGGGAGGGGATCTCTCTCTCTCTCCCCATTGTAATCGCAATGGATTTGCTGTTTTTTTTTTTTCAAAAAATAGGACATGTAGAGAAAGGTCTATAGGATGTGCTACCACGTCGGTAATGCCACGATGGAATGTTGGGGAGGGATCGATCTCCCTCTCCCCATTGTAATCGCAAGGCATTTGCTGCTTTTTTTTTTTTGAATGAGACATATAAAGAAAGGTCCATAGGATGTGCTGCCACGTCGGTAATGCCACGATGGAATGCTGAGGAGGGGATTGATCTCCTTTTCCCCATAGTAATCGCAAGGGATTTGCTGTTATTTTTTTCTTCGAAGAATGGGACATATAGAGAAAGGTCCATAGGATGTGCTGCCACATCGGTAATGCCACGATAGAATGCACAGGAGGGGATCGATCTCCCTCTCGCCATTATAATCGCAAGGGATGTGTTGTTGTTTTTTTTTCAAAAAATGGGACATATAGAGAAAGGTCCATAGGATATGCTGCCACGTCGGTAATGCCACGATGGAATGTTGGGGAGGGGATCGATCTCCCTCTTCCCATTGTAATCGCAATGGATTTGCTGTGTTCTTTTTTTTCGAAAAATGGAAAAAAAGGTCCATAGGTCCATAGGATGTGTTGCCACGTCGGTAATGCCACGATGGAATGCTGGGGAGGGGATCAATCTCCCTCTCCCCATTGTAATCGCACTGGATTTGCTGGTTTTTTTTTTCGAAAAATGAGACGTATAGAGAAAGGTCCATAAGATGCGCTGCCACGTTGGTAATGCCACGATGGAATGCTGGGGAGTTGATCGATCTCCCTCTCCCCATTGTAATCGCGAGGGATTTGATACTTTTTTTTTTTCGAAAAATGGGACGTATAGAGAAAGGTTCATAGGATGTGCTACCACGTCGGTAATGCCACGATGGAATATTGGAGAGGGGATCGATCTCCCTCTCCTCATTGTAATGGCAAGGGATTTGCTGGGTTTTTTTTTTCAAAAAATGGGACATATAGAGAAAGCTCAATAGGATGTGCTGTCACGTCAGTAATGCCACGATGCAATGCTGGGGAGAGGATCGATCTCCCTCTTCCCATTGTAATCGCAATGGGTATGCTGTTGTTTTTTTTTTCGAAAAATGGGACATATAAAGAAAGGTTCATAGGATGTGCTGGCACGTTAGTAATGCCACGATGGAATGCCTGGGAGGGGATCGATCTCCCTCTCCTATTGTAATCGCAAGGGATTTGCTGTTTTTTTTTTTTCGTAAAAAGGGACATATAGAGAAAGGTCCATAGGATGTGCTGCCACGTCGGTAATGCCACGATGGAATGTTGGGGTGGGGATCGATCTCCCTCTCCCCATTGTAATCGCAAGGGATGTGCTGTTTTTTTTTTTTCAAAAATGAGAAAAAGGTCTATAGGTCCATAGGATGTCCTGCCACGTCGGTAATGCCACGATGGAATGTTGGGGAGGGGATCGATCGCCCTCTCTCCATTGTAATCGAAATAGATATGCTGTTTGTTTTTTTTTTCGAAAAATGAGAAAAAGGTCCAGAGGGCGATAGGATGTGCTGCGTCGGTAATGCCACGGTGGAATGCTGGGGAGGGGATCGATCTCCCTCTCCCCATTGTAATTGCAATGGATATGATGTTTTCTTTTTTTTTAAAAAAATGGAAAAAAGGACCATAGGTTCAAAGGATGTGCTGCCACGTCAGTAATGCCACGATGGAATGCTGAGGAGGGGATCGATCTCCCTCTCCCCATTGTAATCGCAAGGGATGTGCTGTTTTTTTTTT